TCTCCTTCGTGAATTATGGCTGAGACCTTGAACTTCTTAAAAACATCTTAAATTATTTGAAATCCTATTCATTTGGTCAAAATTGCCGTTGTAATTGGATAGATAGAGAGAGAGATGTACACACATACACCCCTCTAGACGTTTTACAATCCATAGAGAGTTAGAAAAGAATATTTTGCTGGTTTGAGGGAAACTGCCAATTCTCACAAATGAGTTTATCATAAAGCTGGATATTAATAAACTAAGCAATTTTTCAATATGCAATTATGATATGAGATTCTAATTAATTAAAACATTATATTAGAGTTAATTACTTTCCATTCCTAACATAATAATTTTTTAATAATAATAAAATGTCCAATTATGTATGAATGATAGTTGTCTATTTAAAATTTATATTATAATATGCCATATTCGGATTTCAACGAGATACAAAACAACTTTAAATAATTGGAAACTTTTTTAAATATAATATCTGTGGCATTATAAGTCAAAATATATTTTAGGCCACATATAATTTTTAAACTAAGGATAAATTTTGTGAAGAATTTACTGTCGTGAAATCCTCCTTCATAAAAAATACAATGCCATGTGAATTCTACATTTTTGGTTTAAACCTTTTAATAATTGGAAATTTTTTTAAATGTAATATTTTTGGTATTGTAAGTCAAAATATATTTTAGGCAACATATAATTTTTAACCTAAGGATAAATTTTGTGAAGAATTTACTTTAGTAAAATCCTCCTTCATAAAAAATACAATCCCATGGGAATTCTACATTTTTGGTTTAAAATTTAAACCTTGATCAATTCTACATTTTTTTTACCTATTTAACATATACTTCTATTATAGCCGTTCAACTTATAAGAAACCAATATTGCCATATACTATACTCCTCTTGTTCTATTTAGAAGGTAAAGAGAAAAAAAAATTGGTCCTATTTATAAGACACTTGTCAATTCCCAAAGCTTCTTTTTATATTTTTGCCCTTATTAAATACTTTGAATAAAAATATTAATAATAAGATTTAAGAACATTAATTAGGGGTAAAAGTGAAAACTTGTTAAATTTTATGACAAAGTTAGTGAGATTTAAGGTTTTTTTAGTTTCGGTAAAACATACTAGAAGTGACTTTTATGAATAAGACTAGAACAAGTATGTTTCTTAAGTGCCTAACATTGATAATATCGATAAATCTGATTCCTGCTATATTAAAATAAATAAATTAATTCAATTTATGTTTGCTAATTATTCAATATATATATATATATATATATGTAAATTCACCCAAGAAGGGTGAATTGGGCTTAGTAAAAAATTGATAAATAATGCAAGATAAAAAGAGATAAGTTTAGAACAATATCAACAAACACAACTAAAAAAAAGGGGAAGACAAGCTTGCACAAGAGTTCATCCTGGTTTAGCTCTAACAACTTGATCTTGTATCTAGCTTCTAAGTCACATTTGAGATTTTCTCCAGTTACTCTACTAAGATAAATTTGGGTTCTTAGTTGCCTCAATACAATCCAAACTCTAAGTCTGTATCATTCCTCTTTACAAAAGTAATATGATAACCCACTTAGGCTCTCCAAGCTTAATTCCTCTGTTTCAAGTACACAAAAAAAAAAGAAAAGAATAAATAGAATATGTTCAAGAATAAACAACTTTTGTTAAAAACTCTCCATAAGAGTGAATGTACAATCAATGAAGCTCACAAATCACAGAAGGTAGGTAAGATGATGAAAGCTTTAACTTGCATAATAACTCTTCTCATATCTTCTTTCTTCATCTGATAAATGCTTCTATTTATAGTTAATGACCATTAATGAACTATTAGGCACATTTAATTAGCCATTAGGCTCTTCATTTTCTTTCCTTCTGAGTTTCTCCATAAATGACGTGATGTCATAATATTTTTTGGTGAAGTTGCGCACTCATAGAAAGTAAAAAAAGTAATGGCTATATGCATTTAATGCTTTGATAAAAAGCATGTAAGGTTAATATTAGTAAAGCTGAATGCTATACGGGTATAAAGAGTAACAAAAGATTTGATAAGTGGTTAATCTTACCCGAGATTATATTTAACGGGCTTCTAGATAGGTAAAAAAGATAACACAACGCTTAGAATGTGTAGACACATAGTAACAAGTGATATTCAAAACCCATAAGTTGTGGAATGTAAAACAGAACACATTCTTTATAGTTGTACCAGTATAAACTTCATTTTACCAGTATAAGCAAGTACATTCTGAGAAGTGTTAAGTTGTTGTTTGGGTATAAAGAAATTGTATCGGAATAGTTTTTCATGAAAGACAGTGATTAGAGAAGTACTTATTTGGGAATAGAGATGGTTATACCTGAATAATCGAGCTATACCCAAATAAAAGATGCTGTTCCAGAATAATGATGCAAGGTACAGTATGGAGGAATAAGAGACACTATATCGGTATAGAGAGAATTTATGAGGAATAAAGCACTATACTGTTATAAGGATCTTTGTACTGGTATAAAGGAAATTATATGGGAACAAGGGATGCTATATCGGTATAAGGAAAAATGTAAGGGGAATAAGAAGCATTATATTGCTATAACCAAGTTTGCATCGATATAAAGGACCAAACTCACTTAAGACGCAGAGAAGTTTTAGAAATGAAATTAATATGAAATAGATATTGAATCCACCGGATCCATTTTTAATACCAATAAAATGTCCAATTATGTAGTCAAAAAATAATAAATAATAAAAACACTAGAAGCAACATATAATTTTTAACCTAAGGATAAATTTTTTGAAGAATAAACTTTAGTAAAATCCTCCTTCCTAAAAAATACAATGCCTTGTGAATTTACATTTTTTTTGTTTGAAATATTTGAGCCTGGCTCAATTCTACATTTTTCTTATATCTATTTAATATAGGGCAAGATTTATGTACTTAATCTTATATACTTAATACACTTTTATCCAATCAAATTAAAATAAGTGAATTTTAATTTGTTAATAATATTAATAACAAGAAATTATTATAGAATAAAAATAGTTTATAAAAGATTCACATGTCTTGATTTAATTAGAGACAAGCAGCTTAAGTATATAAAACTAAGTACATAAGTTTTTCCTTTTAAGATATACTTCTATTAGTGTCTATCAATTATAAAAAAACCAATATTGCCATTTATACCTTTCTCAAGTGCCTAATATTGATGAATACTGGTAAATCGGATTCCTACTCTGGTAAAATAAATAAATTAATCAAGTTCATGTTTGCTAATTATTCAATGTATATATATATATAATTGGATACCAGAGAAGATTTTTCCTGCTAACAAATTGATTACTTTTGTATTTGAAAAATAAAAAGATAAAACTTTTTGTTATTCAGTTTGGATTCTTTCATTAATGACCAAATTTGTTTCGTAGATTGCTTCTCTTCCTCAAAATTTTTCCAAAAACATAAAAGAAAAAAATAAAATAATGGAAGCCCATAGTTTCGAGGTTCGAACCTCAAGAAAAATAAAGGGCAGTAAAGGATAAATAAGAAAAGGGCAGAAGAGGAGTTTAATTACTTCAAATTTTGAATAATTTTTTCTACTGATTTGCGTAAATGGTCTGATATTTTTTTAAAATAAAAACCAAAACTATTCTTAATATTGGGACCCTTCAAATTAGTTAAATGGTGAAATTTTGCTAATTGCAATTCTGCTGTCATTTATTATTACAAGACATATTTTTAAAAGTTTTGTATTTAAATTTACAAGGCATTTTGTGAAAGGTTAAGAGAAACATGTTTATTATCTAAAACTACAGTTGGAAAGTAAAATAAAAATTACTTGAACACCATTAATTTGGTTCATCTCCCCTATTAAAAGCATCAATTATATTTAATGAATGATATATATATATATATATATATATATTTAGAAAGATTGAAATATTTAAAAAATATTAATTAATTATAATATATTCTGTAGAGGTTAATTTAAAATACTCCCTCCATTCAATATTATAAGAAATTTTTAACCAAATTATACTCATAATGAGTTAGTTCATTATCTTTAAAATTATACTCTCTTTCTCTATGTTTATCTTTATTTGATAAGGTATCTTAATTAGAAAACCTTATTAATCACTTCCTCTGTTGCTATGTATAAGATATTTTTAATCGAATCATGCATATTAATAAATATTTATCATTTAGTTAAAATCACATTAAATTATAATAATTTTTTAATTTTTTCTCTAATAATGTCAATTAATATCATGATGGTGGTAGGTAGAGTATATAATTAATATCTCCTCCCTTTTTTAAGACGAGAGTAAAATTATCTAATTAATCAAAAATATCAAAACACTTTTTATAGTTATGAACAAAATAATTTTATAAAAAACCCCACACTCAGTGTAATAAAGGGAGCATGCCCTTAAATTAATTAAGGATATTTCTGAAAAAACTTGATCAATTGTATCTTAAAAAACTTAAAATACTTTATTTTTTTAAATATTTCAAATGTCTTATATTTTTTATGCAAAAAATATCTTATATATAAATAGAGCCAACAATTTATTTTTCTTAATTTGGATTTGGATACAAGGTAAAAAAAGTAATTAAATCCCATCCGCCTTCATAAATAAACGCTTGCATAGGGGCGAAAAGGCATAATTGGCGAACGGTTCAAAACTCTCTCTCTCTCTCTCCCTCTCTCTCTCTCTGCCTCTTGAAAAAAAAATAATAATAATAATAACAAAGAAGAACCGAATATCACCTCCACTTCACCATTTCAAGCAGAAACAACCTGATCCGCCTCCTGTGTCCCAATCTCATCATCTTTCTCTTTCATGGAGGTTCCATCGAAAACCTGCGCCGACATTGAATCCATTATTGACCAACAAGGTCAAGAATTACACCCTCTTTCTCCATTATCACCGACCAAACAGACTCGAGTCACCATTATCCACTCCTCAAACTTGGAACTGAACCTGCATGCCGATGATAAATCAAGCAGTAACAAAAGGTATATGCCTCTTCTGATCATCAATTACTTTTTTCTCTTTGTGGGTTCGGTTTCTTCGAGTTTGCTCTCAAAGTACTATTTCATTCACAATGGTTCAAGCCGATGGGTCTCCACTTGGGTTCAATCCGCTGGTTTTCCCTTGTTGCTCATCCCGATTTGGGTTCCTTATCTCCTCAAACTCACCAAGCGACAACCTTTTACTGATTTCAATCCGAAATTTTTATTCCTGTCGGTTTTTGTCGGCCTTATGTTGGGGTTGAACAATCTGTTATTCTCTTGGGGCAATTCGTATCTTCCAGTTTCAACTTCGGCTCTTCTTCTTTCTTCTCAGTTAGTTTTCAATCTCCTCCTATCTGTGATCATAGTGAAACAGAAAATCACTTTCTCGAATCTCAATTGTGTGATCCTCCTCACTATAAGCTCTTTCCTTCTCGCCATTGATTCAAGCAACGAGAAGCCACAAGGGATGAATAAAGAGAAGTACTTCGTTGGGTTCTTCTGCACAATCGGTGCTGGTTTGTTGTTCGCTTTGTATTTGCCGGTGATGGAGATGGTTTACAGGAAGGTGTACTGCTACGAGATGGTGATGGGAGATGCAGCTGATAATGGAGATGGCAGCGACGGTGCTGGCGGTGGTGGGGATGGCGTCGGACGGCGGTTTTTCGGACATGAAGGCGGAGAGCGAAGGGGTTTTCGACAAGGGGAAGGGCGTGTACTGGGTGACGGTGACGGCGAACGTGGTGACGTGGCAGCTGTGCTTCATGGGAACGGCGGGGATGGTGTTTTTGACCTCGTCGATCACCGGAGGGATCTGCATGACGGCGTTGCTGGCTATGAATGTCATCGGAGGCGTGGCGGTTTTCAAAGATCGGTTTGACGGCGTGAAGGCCATATCCACTGTGTTGTGCATGTGGGGTTTCTGCTCTTATGTGTATGGATTGTTCATTAATATGAAGAAGCAACAGAAACACAGTGACAAAGACGACGAGACTGAGATGATTAATAGGTAATTAAATCACCATTTTAATTAATTAATGCAACTATATAAGATTACGCGCCCTTAGTTTAGTATTACAAAATGCTTTTAATTAATTTACATCCTCCAATAAGTTAATTAATAACATTTAAAATTACATATTCGTTTCATGTTTACGCTTACTCTTTTTATTTTCGAATATATATATAGATGAATTTTAATCAACTTACACATTTAAAAAAATAGTTGATCTAATTATTTAATTTTGGAATTCAAATATTTGGACTAAAATTCCCTTCTAATTAATGTTTAATTTTTTTAATTTGGGAAAAATAATTAATACTTTGAAAGTTGTAGTTTTGCATATAATAAAAATAACAAAAATGTAGTTTCTCTGATAGTTGAAAACAGAGTAGTATTTAATTTAATAGGTTATCTCAATTAGAACACCTTATAAACCACATCTTTTTTTTTGGTAATATATAAAAAAAATCACATCCTTAAATAAGGACATTGGTGCAAAAACAAAATACTAATTATACCTTGAAAGACCAAAATGTCTTATACATTTTAACATGATATTTTTTAAAAAAAATATCTTCGAATTTACTAAACAGAAGCAGGAACCCTCCATTTTAAAATATTTGTCCTTTAAAATTATTTCACATAAATTAATAAATGCAATTAATATGTAAAAATATAAATATACTCTCTGTATTTTAAAATATATATTTTTAAGTTTTTGCACACAAATTAAGAAATATAATTAATACTTGCATTGTAGCCCTATACTTTGAATCTTGGCTTATTTTTGGGAGTGTTTGGCCAATATGGGGTTGTGTCCCAAGTTTGAATGGTTTTGTGGTAGCCAAGAGTCCATGCAAGTACTTTTGAATGTCTTAAATTTGTTAGAGATGATTATGGGTTGACTTATGAAAAAAAAATGAATCTTTACACCCTTTTGTTGATTTTGACTATTGGGTAAACATTTTGAATTTTATGTTGAATGTAATGTGTGTGAATGATTGGAATGTTGTATTATGGTCCATTAAGTGTGGTTCAAGGCCCAATTGGAGACACTTGCATTGAGTTTAGAAAGTGTTTAAGTGAGTAAAATAGTCTTCGATGTCCAAATTCTCCGTATGTTATCATATTCATATGAAACCAAAGTTATTAGCTAAATTATTAAATTATCTCTCTACAGGTGCTTGAATCACCTCATTCAGATATTTATGTAAAAAGTTGTACATGTCGAAAGCTAGATCTAGGATGTTTTCATGACAGCATTTATTATCATTCAACATATGTTGCGATGCATGACACAGAACATATCTATCACAATAAATGGTGCCTTTGGCTGCAATGCACAATCTCTGTATTACAAACTATGGCGACGTGTATTTGGCCATGGCGGAGTGTCTAAGAATTGTGAAAATGGCCTTAATTTTTGTTTCTATTTTGACCTCACTGCAACTTTAAATATTTTTCATGCTTCTTAAACAGGGTTTAACTTTGATTTTAAGTGTTGGAAACTTCTTAAAATTTGGTTTTGAATTTTAAATGATTTTGGGATCCCAATTTTGAAAAGTTTTTGCACTAAGCCACTTTTACTTCAATCTTTTAACCATGATTAATCCTTTCTACCATGGTATAAGTCTCTTTAAAGATTGGTTTTGTTTAAGTTATCCCAAAAAAAAAAAAGATTGGTTTTGTTTTAATAACCATGGTAGAGTCAAATGACTAGTCATTACAAAAAAAAAAAAAAGCAAATTAGCAATAATAGAATTTAGCGACGAAACATTCTGTCGCTAAAATTCTTTCATTATTCCATCACTAATTCATTAGAAATAATTTGCCAACAAAAAATTTTATTGCTAATTTTTAGGATATCTTATTTTAATTTAGTGATAGAATTTGTGATGAAAAATTTCATTACAAAGATTTCTATCATAATTTTGTAGCTAATTTCATCACAAATTATTTTTAATTTAATTTTATTATTTATAATATACATTATATATAATTTATTTAATAATTTATTATTATGCTATACATAATTTAAAAATTATAAGTTAAAATAATTTATTATTTTAAATTATTTTTATATTCTTAATAGTAATTTAAATTTTATTCTTAATTATTCTTATTTAAAAATAAAAAAAAAAAAATTAATAAATAAAAATTTAAAATATTATATACTATATAGATACAAATTATAATATAATATAATATAATATATAATGATAATAAAATATTTTAAATATTAAATTTAGTATCAAAAATAATTTTATAAAAATAAAATATAATAGAAATAATTATTATATATAAATTAATATTTCCATATTAATGAATAAATATAATGTAAAAAATGAAATTTAAATATTATATTCAATAATAATTTAAATAATATGCTACTCTGTTTTTATTTGTAAAAGAAACTATCACTTTTAACTTAGTTTTTTATATAAGTAAAATTACATGTTTTAATAAGTATTTATTACAAATTTTTTAAATATCCCCTCATAATTTATATTAATAAGAAATAATTAATGCATGTTTATGTTGATTAACATGGGGCATTTTAGTCTAATTTCTTTATTTTCAGTCATAAATATTATAATTAACTAATTTTCTTAAACTGTGTGATACAATTTTTTTCTTTTATATATAGAAACGAAGGGAGTATTTATTAACAATGTGTTGTAGTTAGTATTATATATTTAATTTATCAATTAAGATTAAAGATTTCTTTCAGCTCAACTAGCAATAAGGTGAACGTAAAGGTAATAGAGAGTGTGAGATGCAGGTTCGAGCTTGGCCAAGGCACAATTGAAGGTTATATTTCACATGGTAGTAACAAATGAGGTGGCAATAAGGTGGTGCTGGTCCACTAGTTGACGAGGTGGTGGTAAGGTGGCGTTAGTCCACCGGATAACGTGGCAATAATATTTTGGTCCACCTAAAAATTAGCAATGAATTTAACGATGGAATAAATCTGTTGGAAAATTTGTAATGAATTAGCAATGGAATGTATTTCATTGTGAAGTCAAAATAGTTTATCCTTATTTAGCAACGAAAAATTTCCACTAGTGTTTTGTCGCTAATTAGCTAGCAACGGAATGCAATTGTGTCGCTAATTCTGTTGCTAATTAGTGGCTGAATTTCAAATTCTGTCGCTAATGAATTAGTGATGGTGTTTTTATTGACAAAAATATTTCATTACTAACCCATTTAGCGATGAAATTTGCACTGATCAGCGATGAAAATTTTCAATACTAATCAGCTATTTTTTTGAAGTACATGGGTTTAGAAAGTAGAACATTACACTAGAGGAAGAAGACGCTGGAGAGAAGAAATGGAAGGGGGTAACTTCTGTCCCTTGAAATACAAAGCAGCATGAAAATAGCCATGTTTCAATTATTTTTTCTCTCATCTAGAATACGGCTTGTTTCAAGAAGCTACTTAGATTAATTAAGTTCTCCAAATAATTAAATATTTTATTTTTTTAAACCTTAAACAAAAGTCTAGAAATTTTCCTAACGTGATTACTTTTTAAATAAAAAAGGTGCTTTTTTCTTTAAAAAAAATACTTAAACAAACAGGCCCTTATATTATATGATAAAAATATATGTTTGAAATAATTTTTTGCAATTTAGAAGAAACCTAAATAAATCAGTTTCAATAAACATAGTAAAAATTAAAATTATAAAAATTATAATATAATAAAAATTAACAAATTTAATGAAAATGTGTATATCATAATTTTTTGGTGTATAAAATTATATTTTAGAAAATTTAAATGTTTAGACAATCATGATGTTAAATAGGGGTATTTTGATCAAAATAAAAATTTAAAAGTCAAATGGTCAACTAATGGTTGAGCGATAAAAATAAAATATTAAATATACAAAGGAGGTTTATGAATATACATTTTAATTTCAAAGGGATGTTTATATAAGTTATCAAAATATAAGGGAGTTAGTGTATTATTAAATTAGAGAAAAAAATATTAATTAGAAAGGTATTTTGGTCCAAACATTTTAATTTCAAACATAATTACTAAAATTCATTAATTTTTTTAAACTGTATAAGTTGATGAAAAATCTCTTATATTTAAAAATAGATGGAGTATTATATTTCCACATGAATTGAGCATAGGTTTCAAGCATTTGCACAAAAGCCTAAATTGTGATGATAGTTGATACTCCTTCCATTCCTAAATACTATAAAGTTTTCTTAATTAACTGGCAAAAATGAAGAAAATTAATTAGACAAGTTAGTTATTTTTAATTAATATCTTCTGTTTTGTACTCCATCTGGATCAAAATATAGAATATTGACAATTATTTTATGGTTTTTAAATAAAAAAGTTAGTGAAAATATAGAGCTTGTTTGGTTTCTGTTTTAAAAAAACAACTTTTGTATTTAAAAAAACAAAATTAAAAAATTCATTTGAATAAATATTTTAAATTTAATATTTCAAACTGTACCGATCTTTTATTTTAAAAAAAAAATAGAAGCATCATTAAGCTATTTTCATTTTATTTTTCTTATTTTTAAAATATACTACATTTAATTATTGAAAATTACAATCATAATGATTAATCACTATTATCTATTATAAGCCACTATCGTTAGTCAACATTGACAATCACTATTGGCTAATTTTTTTAACTCTAAAATTATTTTTAAATTAACACAATTAAATATATTTTTTATTATTTTGAAAGAAAATTTTAAGAAATTGTAATCCAAAACAGTTTTTTTTTTTTAAAAAAAAAAGGGAACACCATCAAATGAGCCTTTAATCTCTTAAAAAATAATACTTCTTTCCAATTATACTCTAATTAAATAACCAATATAAGTACATTAACAATGATAATTGAAATATATCCAATGCATCATTTTTGTAAAAGATTAATAAATGAACAAGGCTTTATAGTTGAAAAAATGATAATAAAAATGTCCTATATTGCAATGTAGAACGAGTAGGAAAAACTTCATGTCGTTCTTTTTTATAAGCAAATAACAATT